CAGGGTAAAAGATACCACGTCAGAGAGTTGTTCCTCGAGAGCATCTCTCTCTGGATGGCTGCCCTCCGTGTCAAGGGAGGACCTTCTTAGCGCTGAATGAAACGTAGCTTTGAAGGTCAGATTATCCCTCAGTCTTGTGGGAGCCGCTGAGGGAGAGCTGACAGCCATAGTGTTTGCCTCTACATGGGTGTGAAGCTGGCCCTGATTCTGCAAATAACAAGGTTGTGTTTAGGGGCAAAGTGCATTGTGTCAGACCAGTTCCACTGGTAACAAACCATTTAATGAGAAAGCATTAAGCGAGAGAACTTTTTAACAATAAACGTCTTCCTACACTTAACACATTAGGGTGCTTAATCAGCCCTCTGTATGGGTTTTGGTGTAATGTGTATGGTATTGAGTAACTGGCAAGCTACTTGGCATTTGTATAGCATCAAACAGCAGACTACTTAGTCAGCCAGTGCATCTAAGTAATTATATATAAGAAATACTTGTGGAAATTAACCCCTCCATCTTATAGAAATAACCATGGCAATCTGTGTGGAGATAGCAGCTATTACTGCCCACATACTGATTCGTTTTGTTTCCCTATCTAACCCTGAGGTAAACAGAGTAACTGGCGCAGAATATGAAGTGTTTCCTTTACTGTTTAAGCTTTTCAGTGGATGCCGCTAACACGGTTGCGTTGGCTGGTTACTCCTGCTAAACTATGAAATTGCTCAGGAGGGAACCGTTTCACAACTGCTTGAGAGCAAGCCAGAAGCATAATGCCTGCATACATAAAACCTACTTTAAAAGGAAAAGGTTAAAGCTCGATGGGAATTGTTGGTGATCTGCCTCTCTCAAGATGAAGTTTACAGTTTCCCTTTATCAAATAATTTTAAGGTGAGCCACTCCTCAAGACGAGGAGAGAAGAAAAAATAGGTTTGTAGTAAAAACAAAGTACCTGTCGTTTATTTTTAGTCTATGAGAAAAAACATATAGGAGGAGGTACCAGATTCTTGAGCTTGTTCTCCAGGGTCTGTGGTAGTTGATCATCCAGACCTATTTTAAGCTGCTTGGCTGTATTTTCCCTCCAGGTTTTCTAGAAGAATTTTTAGTATTCAAGGTCCAGGTGTCCGGCCTAAGTGTACCTGTGCTCCCCTGGTACCTGCTTGTGCTTCAGCTCTTCGTACACGGCCACATGGAGCGGACCTGAAACGTGATTGAAGCCCGGCTGTAAGCACGGCCGATCTGACTACAAACCGTATGTTCACCAAGACAGCTACGTGGTGGTTTCCAGGACTGTTTATATTCTGTTCTAACCTCGCAATAGTTGAGTGTGTCCCTGTGTCTCTGCGTGCCCTGTAGCCACCGGAGAGAGGTCGAGGTAGCGCGCGTGGATTCCTCTAGCGGTCTCTGACTCCTGCACGCTGTGTTTATCTACCGCAGCAGCATAATCCTCTTTTCAGCCAGACGCTTGGCAATTAAGACACGATCTGTCCTACTTAAGGTATAAATAAGCCTTTAATGTTACTTGGGGATTACATTAGGACAAGAAGGGGCTCTTTTGAAGACAGGGTTCCCGCTCAGCAGGGTTCGCAGAGCCGGCATTGGCCCTTGCGCCCCTGCAAGATGTTTGAATCTGGGCAAAGTAATAGTTTCCAAACTGTGCGTACGGAGAGCGGCGGCAGCTTCTGGCTGCTGAAATACCAAACTGGCCTTTACCCGTGGCCAGGAGGACGCGTACGAAGCGGGGCTTCCCGGTATCTCTAGATCGAGCGCACGCGCCCATGCGGGCAGCCATCGCCATTAAGTTTGCTGGCTTAAAGAAAGGGGGCGCGGAAACACTCCCTTGGAACCCGAGTTTGAGCAGTGGTTTGGGTACGTTGATGTAGTGCTTGGGTGAAGCGGGGTTAGGTCCCTGATCCTCTGCAGATTTCATGTGGGACTGAGGATAAGCTGTCAATAGAATTTAAACCCCCTCCCCGTCTTTGATTCCAGCAGTGTTTGTGGGTGTGAGACTTAGCTGCTTTCTGCTGCTGGAAGTGGAAGGATAGGACTTTCTCTGAGGGATGGACAGGAGTGTACTGCAGTGAATGTGGGACAAAGGCTGTGTTTGACTGAAGAGGTGCTCGGTCAAGTGGCTGTGCTTTGTGTCCTGGCCCCTCTCTCCCTGCTTGCCACCCTCCTCCTCCTCCTTGGGCTGGGCCGGTCGAAGCGTTGGTGTGGTCTCACGGGGACCAGGCAGATTAGAATAGAACTGTCTGAAGAATTAAATTACTTTTTTTTTTTTTTTTTTTTTTAACCAAATCTGTTTCCCAGTCTGGTTTCACTGTGCACCTGCCTAAATACTTCACCTGGCACGAGGCAGGGGGCAATGCAAGGCAGGAGCAAGCAGTCGGGGATAAGAGACGATTAAACTAGCGCTAAATGCTGGTGAATTACACACAAAACTGCAACTTCAGTCATGGTCATGTAGCGTTGCCTGTTGAGCAGCTATTTGTTATGATAAATTACATCTCTCTGTCCCAGAGATGCTTTCTGGGACTTGCAGAAGTGCTGATCTGTGTCTCGAGTGTGTAAGTGCTCTGACACCTGCCCCCTCTCGTTGTACACGCGTGCTGCAAAATGGCAAATGTGAAGATCCTCGAACTCAGATGGTGGCTGCACCGTCTGATGTGATGCCATAGCTGGGAATGCGTTTTATTTTAAAATGTATTATTTTAAAAATAAAAAACATGTTTATTTTAAAAATAAACAAAAAGCAAATAAAGAAAACAACCCGCCTGCATGGATAACTAATAATGTGCTTGTCAGTGCCACTCCTAGTGGCCTTTTTTCAGTGAATGTCCTTCTTCAACTTTTTTTTTTACATACTACTTTACCTCTCTCTTTCTAAATATCGCAGCAGGAGCCAAGCCTTCTTATAGGCGTTGGTTTTGCACAGTGTCATGATCTGAGAGACTTGGGTTTGTTCTTCTGGTGGGTGATGAGGTTTTTGAAGGGTCGGACACGTTGCCGAGGGGCAGTGCAAAGGCACGGAATGCGTATGTATAGGCAGAGCTGTTCTCAACTCTGACTCTGTACTGGGCAGCCCCACAATTTAGAACCAGGCTTGCGCTTGGGGAGGGGAGGTGGGGCGCACAGCAAACCAACCAAAAAACCCCAAACAAACGAAACCCAACAACCCGCGGCTGAGGGTGCTATGAGTCTCGTCCTGGGCTTTCTCGGCCCCGGCACTGAGCCCCCCTCTGTCTGCTCGACTGTCCCGCTGGCTGGGCTGACCCCCGCGGCTGTGGCAGGCGGCTCAGTTCTGGTTGCCCTTCGCTCCTGCCTCTGGCTTGCGTTGCTTTCCGCTGTGCTTGGAGGAGCTTTTGGGTAGCGCAGCAAGCTGCGGGCATGTTTAAATCTGTGGGTTTGGGGAAAAAGCAAGAGGGGGAGTACTAAGGTCTCGAGGTGTATGTGGTGCAATCTGAACAATTTTCTGTGTTTTCATTTCCCATTAAAATGTGTAATCATTGAAATGAAACCATTGAAATGGGGCGGGGAGCGGATGGCATTGTACCGAATACAAGCTTATGCCCAGAGTGTACCGTGCCTGCCTGGAAACTTCTACAACTTACTGATACTAAGACTGTAGAGTCATTAGATGGGAGACGGTTTCAAGTCATTCCCCACTGCTGAATTTCCTGGCACTACTGAATTGCACTGAAACTGCTGCTGTTATCTCGAATGCGCTGGCAACTGCCTGACTCTGCATGGGCTGAGGTTGCTGCCAGGCGCTGGGAAAGGCTTGAATCTGTCAGAGAAAAAGACCTCCTCTTAGCTCAGCTACTGAAGAAATAACGCGCTTTTGAATATTCCACGCTGGATTTTTTCAGTCGTTAGCTTAGAAACTTCTTTCGTGGTTTAAGGGAAACATCATAAATACTTTTTTGAGGCCAAAAGCAACCTTTTCTCCACAGCAGTTGCCCGTGGGAGTTTCCCTGGGACCCTGACCCTATGGTCATGGGCAGGCGTTTGCTTTTACCTGTGATAAGGCAGCTCCTTGAGTATTGCTTTGTGTTTCCTTTGATGTGCCTGGGCAGAGGGCACTGGCTGGAGGGGATGGCTTGGCCATGCCGGCTGGCTGGCTCCAGGGCACACCGATGTGTAAATCTGTGCTCCCTTGTGCAGACTTTGGGGAATGCCTTTTCCTGGCTGGAGTAGCAGAAAGGGGGAAAGGAGGGAGAAGGGAAAGGTCGCTTTCCTTGAAACAAATCTTAAAAAAAAAAAAAAAGAAAAAGACAGGATTTTAATAGCGGGCAGTGGGTTTTTCTCTCTTGATTCTTGCTTGTGCCTGTGCAGAGCGGTCCTGTCCTGACCCGGGGATAGCTCAGGGCGTAGCAACCTGTCACACGCTGTGAATCGGCGGATCGGTATGTGCCTTATCTTAAGCAGTTGTAACTGTTTTAAGAGTTGTGGATGGGCTGGGGTGGTGGTGTGTGTGTTTTTCTAAGCTGTGAGAAATGAAGCACCACCAGCCTATTTTTTCTTTTAGTTTGTATTGTTGCTTTTGGGTCAGAAGTCATCAACACCTCGTTCTCTGGCTGCCCGTGTTTAAATTACTCATTAATGCTCAGATTGCTTTAGGCAGGGGAGACCAGGGCCAGTCTGGAAAGCTGCGGATTTACTAAATCGTTTACTGATAAAAAAAACTGCTGTCAAAAGGAAGAGAAGTTTGCTGTGCTGGAGAGAGCAACCCTAAACCGAGCTCTGCTCAGCTGGGACGAGCAATAGGCTTACCTCCCCCTAAGACTGCGCTTTCTTGAGGCATTTTGTTATCTTGGCGAAGATGCCTGTTATGCGGAAAAGCAGGAGCACTTTGCCCTTCTTGTCTCTCTCCGAACTTTAACCACTTGGTCAGGATTGATTATAAACCCAGATGCTAATTACATCGCTCCTCATTTCGCTGAACAAAGAGTGTTGGCAACGCTTGCGTGCCACGGCTGGAGTCTTTGGGACAAGACCTGTGAAGTAAGATGGTGGAGGAGGAAGCTAAGAGCTTACCTATGGAGCTGAGCGAGAAGGGGGGGGTGGAGAACAACGGGTTTGTTCAAAATGAGGCTTTTGATGATAAGGAGACCAGTGCCGGTAGCCAAGAAGAAACGCCAAAGCCGTGCGTTATCGATGCGGACCCAGCAGCTGCGGAGGAGCCGGCGTTGCAGCCCTACGCGGGGATGCCGAAGGAAGTCTTGCTGAAGTTCTCCAGCCAAGCCCGGTACAGAGTCACCAGGGAGATTCTCTTCTGGCTCATAATTGCCGCCGCAGTTGTGCTTGTGTGCTCTACGATTGCGATTATTGCTCTCTCCCCCAAGTGCCTCGACTGGTGGCAGGCTGGTCCTGTTTATCAGATCTATCCCCGCTCCTTCAAGGACAGTGACATGGATGGGAACGGGGATCTGAAAGGTGGGTGAATTTCCAGTCTTGGCATGTGCAAAGCTGGGTAGCGGTTGTCTGTGGGTGTGTATATATAGATATATTAAAAAAATTAAAAAATCACAGTGGAGTCCAATAGAGAAAGCCACCCTCATGGAGAAAAGAAGAAAAGTTGTCGGACTCATCATTAATGGCAGCTCCCGTTGCCGTGAATAAATCTAGGAGGTGCTTGCTCAAGTTGCAAAGTCTGAGCCTGGAGTTAGGAGGGATGTGTAGAGGTGGGGCGGGGAGCGCAGCTGAGCACAACAGCCAGCAGAGTAAAATACTTCCACAAAACTGTGGTCGGTCAGGAGGATGGGTGGTGCTGAGCACTTCATCGTGTTAGGTTGGCTGCCTTTCCATAGGGAAGAGTGAGGAAAAATAAAACTGACAAAGAGGACAGCAGGATCTGTTACTGGTCTGGGTGTTTTTGAGCTCTTGTGAATGCACTGGGAAGGGTACCCGATACCAAGAGGCAATGCCACCTACCAGTAGCTTAGCTGACTACCTTTCAGAAAGGAAAGGCTCAGCACAATCATGGACTATAAACTTCTAAACTAGAAGTGCCTAGCTCTAATATCCTCTACTGGCAAGTGAAGGGAAGAGACTGTTTACTGTTTCTGTAGTTGCAGGAAGGTGGGAAAGATTTGGGTTTAAACATAACCTGGGGAGGCTGGAGTGCAGTGTCCCTGCAGGAAACGACAGAAAAACCCCGTAGGAGACTTTTCCTAGGGCAGGGAAAACCTGGGATCTTTGCATTAAAATTGAGCTTCTCTTTGGTTGATCTGAGGATTAATTGACTTCCTGAAACGGGAAGGCAATGCTGTTGTGCATTTTAACAAAATACAGGAGCTTGTTTTCAGAAGTGGCTGATAAATTTATGAAACGAAATTGTGAATATTTTTATAATACAGAGTATAAATTTATTTTGATCTGGGTTTTTTTTTTTAATTGCTGCTTTCTCTTGTAAAGGTGGCTTTCAATGGTTTCCATTCTGTGGTCTCATGGTATTGCTGAAGAACATCAAAATTGCCCTGCTATTGGTGATCAGTGAAAACAGGGGATGGCTGTGTACCGAAGGGACCTGTGTACCATCTTGGACTGAGAGCCCATGGCAAGCTTGTTTCTACAAAAAAATATTTTGTCTTTTTAAACAGATTATGCCTTTTTCTTTTAAATAGGTATCCAAGAAAAACTGGACCATATCACGTATTTGAACATTAAAACCATCTGGATCACTTCTTTCTATAAGTCCCCCTTAAAAGACCTTGGGTACGGAGCTGAAGACTTCTATGATATTGATCCCATGTTTGGATCAATGAGTGATTTTGAGAATCTGCTTGCAGCCATACATGACAGAGGTAAGCTGCAACTCCGAGCAAAATAATTCTGTTAAAAAGACGTTTGCTTGTGTTATACGAGTGTACCTCGTGGTGCTGGTCTGAGGTTTCAGTCTGTGCACCTGGCAGTTCCCCCACGCGGCGCTGAGCAGGAGCAGCGGAGGTGCCAGCGGAGGGGACCCACCAGCTCCACAGCAACACGAGCTCTGCGGCTGCCGTGGCCCACCCTTGGGTGCTGGGGTGGTGCTGGGAGCAGGACCGGAGGCGCGGGGAGCTACAGCCGCAGCGTCAGGCTGCTCTTTGTCCTCTGCAAGGCACGGTCCCCTCCGAGGGTGGTCGTGGGTGGATGTGCTGTGCGTGCTCCCTGCTGCGGACGGCGGGGGCATCGATGGCCTGGGGGACCGAGGCTGCGGTGCGGTTGTTTCTACCGGAGTTTCGTGACTGATGGCTGCTCGCTGAAGAAAGCAGGAAAACAGTTACAGGGCTGGGAGGGAACGTGCGCTTCCTTCCTGCGATTGCATCCTTGGTGGGTGCGTTTATGCCGTAGACCGAGTGTTTGCTCAGGTGTTTCCCCTTAGAGCTGCTGGGCTGAAGGGAAGATGGTTTGCCAGTCCCCAAAACATCTGGGATTTCAAAAAGACGCCTAGTCTTTAAGAAGGGTGAGGAAGAGTGCGTGTTCGCCGGTGCTAGACTGGTGAAGTGCCTTCCCAGCTGGGAGCTGGGAGACAGATGGTGAAGTCAGAGTTAGTGGAAGTGGTTCCTAACAGCAGAAATCTGTCCTGATTTTTTTCTTTTCCCTTCCCTCCTTTCCCTCCCAGCAATGGGATGGGGGGAGCAGTGCCAGCAAGATGTATTGCAGCTGCTTGCAGACTCTAGTTAGTCTGCGCTGGTAGTCTGGGTTGTTTGTGGGGTGTTTTTGCCCCTCTCTTTTGCCAGAACTCTGGGACGGGGGAAGCCCAAACAGTTCGGATACTGCATTAAGAAAAAATGTGAACTTTTGTCTTAAAAGGCTAAATTCAACGTTGTTTTTCTTGTTTGATTTTTAAGGGCTGAAGGTGATAATGGATTTAATACCGAACCACACAAGTGACAAACACCGATGGTTTCAGCTGAGTCGCAACCGGACAGGGAAGTACACGGACTACTACATCTGGCAGGACTGCACGTGGGCCGCTGGTTCCGTCGCTCCTCCGAACAACTGGGTAAACACGGGAAGGGACAAATCCCAAGCTGGGTGCAGGCAAAAGCAGCCGTAACATAATCGTCCCGACGCACACGGGGTTACAAATGACTCTCGAGGTACAAACGGGTGTCGGTAAATGAGCTAGTGCAGATTAAGATTTAAACAGGCTTGGGGGGAGGAGTTCCTACTTCAAACAGAATTTTAAAATTCTTTTCTTTCTTTACCTCAGTGTTAAATCTTCACTCATTAAACAAAGGAAGGGATACTTGTGCACAAGTTGTTAACATGTGCCTCCTTCTGTGTCTGGCTGTTCTGCTCTGGAAACTTCATCTTGGCTCCTCTGAAATCAGAGTTGGTGGGGAGGGAAGAAAACTTTGTGTTCTTGGCTTGTCACAGAATCACAGAATGTTAGGGGTTGGATTTGTCCTTTTTCTGGAAGGTGATCAGGCCAGAAAGCGTGTTGCCTGTTTCAGCTGCGTTTATTTGAAACTTGAACTGGTGGGTGCATGATGAGGAACGTGTATGTTCTAAAAGCTCAAGGTGGAGTTAATATTTTGTGCCAGCTACTGTAATTTCTCTTTAAACTTAGAGTCTTAAGAGCAGCTGCCTTAGCTTTTGGAATCTTTTATTACAGAGATAGTGATAAAGTTAACATTTTAACATGCTGACTGTTGTTGGTGCTTCAAAGGGATAATACCAGACTGCAGAAAGCTCTAAGTTAATTTAAGCAATTTTTAATAAGATTTAGGAAAAAAAAATTCCAAAAGAAATGTTCCCACCCATGTTTTCCCCTCTATGCTGAATAATTCCCAGTGAAAGTTTACTTTAAAAAAAGGGAATGAAACACAACATTGAACAAGAAATACATGTGGCACAGCACGACTAATAAGAGAGCGACTAGCGGGAGAAGGAAATGTAGCACAAGTATCAAAATCTACTCAAAATTTAGTCCATTGATTAAGCATTTTGTGCCTTTTTTTATGTGCTTGTAACTGTGTCTTAAAGTATGTGTCAGAGTAAATGTTTGTGAAATTAGGAGTCCTGATTATCCCCCTCCCTTATACGAGCAGGTGAGTGTCTTTGGCAATTCCAGCTGGCAGTTTGACGATGTGAGAAAGCAATGTTATTTTCATCAGTTTGGAAAAGAACAGCCAGACTTAAATTTTCGCAGCCTTGCTGTCCAACACGAAATCCATGTAAGTATGTAACCCGCTGCTGCTGTGCCAACAGCAAAGCAGCTATTTCTACGCTTAATTTCTCTGATTATTTGTGCTACTCAATTTGCAGCCTAGTTGGAAGTAATTAAAGGATTGCCGTGTATGTAAACACTTGAAACAAAAAGGTGTCTAGACAAACGTTATGTTTATAAGCAAAATTCAAGCTTTATGCTGTAATGCTTCTAGTATTGGAGCTACTTTCCTTCAAGTCTTTTTAATTTAAAAGCAAACTGGCAACAAAAAAAAAATCCAAATAAAACTGTCCCTGAGTGGAGGTACTGGCAGTGGGTGGTGTTGCAGTCCTCTGGATTTTAAGAGGGTGTGACTATTGCTTATTTTTTCTGCTGGCTTAAGTCCCCTGCTCTCACAAGGGCCTTGCACAAGCTTGGTGGGTTTTTGGAACAGCCTATTGCACTTTAAAAGGAGCTCCCTTGCCCTTTCCCTTTCTCCTCCCACTAAAGGCTAGCTTAAAATTGCTTTGATGCTTCAGGAGCCCTCTACTCTTCAGCCTAACCTTATCTGCCAACTGTGCATACTTCGCTTGCTATGAATCCAACCTGTCCTTCAGCTGAAATAGCTTTTCCCACCCTTCTTTACACTTGTATTTTTCCAGCTCTGACAACATCTGCCTTCAGCTTTTGTTAAGACAGGTTGAATGAGGTGAGCTTTTCCAGCCTTCCCGGAAGAGAGAGGCTCTCCACCCCATTGTTTAGCCCTTGCTCCTCACAGCGCTTCCAGCCTGAGGTTTCTCTCAAATGGGGATGGCCAGAATTAAACAAATTGAACAGAAGAGGTGTCTGGTCAGAATCTTGTTCAGTGGCACAGGTTCTCCTCCCTCTTTGTCCCGCAGTTGCAGTTACTTGCTTCGAAGCTGGTGCTAGTTCTCAGTTAATCCAACTTGAGGCCTGTCTAGAAGCAGTTAACTGCTTTCAGCTCTAGTCTCCATCAAGAGCCAAGGATGAAGGCACTTACCGCCTTTGGATGTTGTATCAGGGATGACAGTTGATGGGAGGACTGACACTGGGAGGTAAAGCAGCTCTTGCACTGAAGCTGAGCTGAGTCACTCGAGGGGAGAGAAGTTTTTATCTCTGTTGGTACAAGGAGCTGTGAATTAGCCAGTCAAATGTGGGAATGGCACCTTGTTTTAGCGAAGAGGTGAGGCAATGCTGATTTGAAAGACAAGGAATGCCTGAGCTCCTGGGTAAGGGGGAGATAGTGAGTTTCAATCTGTCTACATCTCTGATGACTTTAGAGAGGTGAGAGACAGATGGACAGCCGGCACGCAGGAGTGCCCCACCAAGGCACGGTGGTGGTGCTCTGATGAAACCTCATGCCTGTCTGCATCACGTCTCCCAGCAGGCAACGTAGAATTCAGTACAATATGGGGAAGTGGGCCTGAACATGGGGAGTCTGACGGTTGCAGCTTCTTTAGTTGTTCCTTTAAGTTATGCCCCATCAGGCAGTACAGCTACCTCGGGTGTTTTGACTTACTCCTTAAGTGCTGGCTACTTTGTACGGTTGATTTTTTGTGCGTTTCTTTGGTGGCAGTCTTCACAGCTGCCCAGTTCTACTGTGTTGCTCTCACGGTCTCTGTGGGGCCTCTCGCCTCACCATGGGCGCTGCAGGTGCATGAAGAAACAAAACACTTTTGGTCATACTTGGTAACTAAAGCATGAAGTGAGACTGCTTTTGAGACTGATCCTTGAAGAACTCGACTCCACTAGTAACCTCTTTGTGTCTTGATACTTCCCTTAACACCGTGTCTTGCCGCTTGCACCTTTTTTCCTTGCATCTCACATACTTTTTAATGGTCCTGGCTATTTTTTTAATGGTACTTGATATATTACTGAAGCTGCAGTAGCAAAGAGGTGCTGCATTTCCTATGCAAAGAAATGAAATGAAAACTAGTAAGTCTGGCCTGGTAACACCAAGCTTTGGTAAATGCTTATGAACATCATTAATTGCTCCAACATGTTAAAGAATAATCTTTATCTAGTATTTTAATTTAAAATCCTGTTTCACTAGGTTAGGAGGACTGAGCAGGAAGCAAATGGACTCTTCCAGAGAAGCTCAAGTCTTTGGTTTAGCCCCAGGGCACGCAAGAGCAATGACACTTAGCAGCCAGCTGCTTGTAGCTTCCTTGCATACATAAAAGTAGATCAGTCTCAGTGCGTCCCACCTCAGTGCTTGATATTTGCACTGCTGATTCCTGGGGTTGCGTTCGTGATGAGCACATGCATAACCATGAATTAATTTTTGGTGGATTCAGTATTGGACAGGCACCATATCAAGAGCTGCTGCTTTCAGAGTGGCTCTGCGAGAAAGTACATCTCAGTAAGGTGGAGTCTTTATTTGCCAAACAAAAATCTGTAAAGCTTGAGTGTGGACTAGTCCTACTCCAGCCTATTCAGGCAGGTGTACTTCATACACATAAGAAAAGGCAATTCAATAGCTGTCTTTTTTTTAAAAAAAAAAAAAAAGAAAAGAAAAAGTTTTGTCCTCAGCTGAAGAAAAGTATCTGGTCTAAAACCATTCAAGAGGGACTGAATATTAGGGTTGTTTGTTAAAACTAGATCAATTAAAACTGTAGTAATATAATAGCTACTGAAGCAGGATATTTTACTAATAGCGACTAACCTCTGAATTCGACAGTGACATTACAAATCGATCGCAGTTCACTTGGACAATAATTTTTCATGTTCCTGCAAATCAGCAAATAAGCCTGAAACTAAAATTAAAATCACATCAGTCAAATAAGGGAGAACGAATGTTTTAAGAGCTCTGCTGTGTAAAAAGAAAATTAGCGGCACAAGGTCCGTGCAGAACAACGCATTCTTGCACAGATGAATCGGTGTGTTCTGACGGTGCGCGGCCGTGGTGGGTGTTCACCACCAGCAGCACTTAGCAGGAGCCCGATTGTTTCAGTGGGTGAGATTGGGAATGGCTTGTAGCGGGGCATGCCCCGGCTTTGGGCTCGTGGTTTTATGGAGCAGTTACGGACCAGTCTTTCTTTTTGATACTGGATGAAATAATAAGACAGGCTTTATTTAGATCTTAGTGTGACCTTAGATGGACAGGATTCACGTTAACCTCTAGTAAAATTTGAAGTACAAATTAAAAAATCAATTGTTACATATTAATACCTCCTAACAGGTTTAGTTTTCCTTTTAAGTACGTACTGTTTTGAATGCGGTGGGCTCACTTGGACTTCTCAATGTTTACCTTTGTGTAGGATATTATCAAATTTTGGCTCGGCAAAGGAATCGACGGATTTAGTTTCAGCGCTGTTAAATTTCTTTTAGAAGCAACACATCTCCGAGACGAGCCTCAAGTGAACACGTCCCAGAACCCAGTAACGTATATGTTCTGTCTTTGCTTTTTTCCTCTGTTTCCTACTGGGGCAAGAGTGTGTTTTTACACCTTTCCTCTTTTTACACCTTTACCTCTTTC